AAACATAAAAATGTTAGACATAATACATAAAGCCTTTGAAAATATCATTTATCATGAGTTATGACTCATGAGGTTACACCACTATAAATATAAATAGTCATTTCTAGTTTTCCTTGGTTTATCTTCATAACGTTGAATTATTTTGTGGAATCATTTTGTAACTTAAGAGGTTCCTAGAGAAAGAAAATTGTTTAAAAGTAATTATTATAATTCTTGATTATTAATAGGGAAAATGACCTTTGAGGGTAATAAAGTGTTCGATAAGTACTCATTTGGTCTCTTATTTTTTTTTTGTCTTTATTATACCATTGAACTTAATAATCCTGCTCACCAAAACCCTCGATACCGGTTGTTGTAGGTTACTGCTTATGTGGATATTACGTGGCATTATGTGGCGTAAACTGGGCTTATTAATTGCAAAGCTGCAGTACTGCATCATTTTTGCCCTAGATCGACATGGATGCTTTTTCTTCTTCTTCTTCTATTTCTTCCAAACGAAATGCTGAATTTCAACCTGAAAATCCTTGTTACTGTGGGTTACCATCTCGTGTACGAATTTCACGAACTAAAGACAATCCAGGAAAAAAAATTCAGATTGTGCCCTAACTCCATGGTAAATCAAATGTTTTTTACTTTTCATTTAATCTTCTTTCTTTAAGCAATTTGTTACTTTTTTAAAGAATGAAGGACCAAAATGCAAGTTCTGGGAATGGTTGGAGCCTGAAACCCCTGAAAATGAAGTCAGTTCTAGGAAGGACAAAAAAGAACTGTGCAATTTAACCCTCAAAGTTTCTATATTGGAAAACGAGATCATCATATGTAAGATGAAGATGGAACAAGAAAATTTGGTTGTTAGACAAGAGTTTGAAAAAATCAAATGGAATCTATTTACTCATAAAGTTGTGATGATTGTGTTGTTTTTGTTGTTTGTGTTTAAGAAGTAGTTAGTTTAGCTGTATTTAAAGACTAAATGTAACCCTTAATGTTGTAATTTGTTTGATGTATTAAGACTAAATCTTTTTGATTAATGATAGTTTGATGTTTTGAGTGGTTTCAAAGAAGTATTAATGTGTTTAACAGGTTAGTGAATTGGACATGATGCAGGGGTAAAATGGTCCATATTAAATTTGGCAGTAATCAATTGTTAATGTCTTGATGTGATCCAAGGGTAAAATGGTCCACATTAACAACATTGGATACATCAAACATTTCTTAATGTATTAAGACTAAATCTTTTTGATTAATGATAGTTTGATGTTTTGAGTGGTTTCAAATAAGTATTAATGTGTTTAACAGGTTAGTGAATTGGACATGATGCAGGGGTAAAATGGTCCACATTAAGTTTGGCAGTAATCAATTGTTAATGTCTTGATGTGATCCAAGGGTAAAATGGTCCACATTAACCACACTGGATACATCAAACATTTCTTAATGTATTAAGACTAAATCTTTCTGATTAATGATAGTTTGATGTTTTGAGTGGTTTCAAAGAAGTATTAATGTGTTTAACAGGTTAGTGAATTGGACATGATGCAGGGGTAAAATGGTCCACATTAAGTTTGGCAGCAATCAATCGTTAATGTCTTGATATATTAATGTATTAATACTAAATCTACTTGATTAATGATAGATAATATAAGATTAAACAATTTATATGCAAATAACCAAACACCAAAGCATATAGATAAAAGACAAAGTTGTAATATTCCATCAGCATGTGCACCATTACAAAAGCTGTGCCCACAGTTGTCCAAATATGTCAAAAGATGTGCCATGTGCCATGATTCTTAAAGTTTTTCCAATTACATAATTAAAAGACTAAAAGTTTGTCTTTCCAAAAATATTTAAACATAAAATCATTCCAACACCATTGGGTGGTGATCAGTGCTTCCTTCTTTCTTCAAAACCTTCCTCCTCAACCCTATCTTGGTAGTTCTTTCTGAGTATTTTCGTATCCTCTGCCTAGTTGCAACTGGTTGAGCAGGGACATCATTAACAGGATCATCTACTTGGGCATCAACATTTGGATGTGGATCATCTAATTGAACTGGTTCAACATGTGGAGCTGGATTTACTTGAACTGGATCCACTGGATCTACTTGAAATGGTTCCACTTTACCTGCTATACAAAGATGTAGTTAATGAGTTAGCTGTTGCAATTTAATTATATTGTTTTAATAGCATACCTTTCTCTTTTTTACATTTTTTAGGTTTCTTGTTTTTTGGCCTTGAAGTGGATGCTACATCTGCTGGTCTAGTAGGACATGTTGATCTATTGAGGCCCATGTCTCTACAAATAGTGCATCTATTAACTGCACCTGCTTTTGAGATAGTATGCCTTGTTTTCCCCTTGCTTTCCCTCTCAGATTGATCCATTTTCCTTTTAAGGATTGGCCTTCCTGGTAACCTTTTTTTTGAGGAGGCAATGGCTTCATGTAGGAAGCTTCAGGCCACATGGAACTACCATTAAGTGGATTAATGGTATGGTTGTAACAAGTCAAGAACATGGCTGTACGGAACCATGGTGCAACATAATCCTTTGCATTCTTGTTGAGGTATGAAATGGTTGCCACTGCATGCACACATGGGATACCTGATACTTGCCAAGATCTACATCCACATGTGTTGTTGGTAAGGTCCACAACATATCCATCATTTCCAATCCTAACCTCATATTTTTGTACCCCGGAAGGTATAACTCCCCAAAATCTGTCCACAAAAATAACAAGTTCTATTAATCTACTAGATGACATAATAATACTTATAAAATACAAGTTATATCATACCTTTGTTGTTTCTTTAACTTTGATATCTTTAATCTTATAGATGGGCATATTTTTAAATTACCCCAACTTTGTCCCTCTAGCAGCATTCTATACATCCTCTCCATTGCATAAATCTGAATCTCTTCCAACATAGTGAGGAGTGGTCTCTTCCTAGCAAGATCAATAACAGAGTTGAAACTTTTTGATATGTCATTCTCATAAGCATCACAAGCCCTGTCCACTTCAAAGAATGCCCTACACCAACTTTTAGGGTCCCTTTCCATGAGGTGTTCATAAGCTAAAGGGTCAATTTTTTTTTATGGAATTCATTTCTGCCTCAAATTTAGGTTGAGTAGTACTAGCAGCAGCTGCCCAAAACAACTTCCTATATTGTTCACCTTTGAATCTTTTCTTGAAGTTAGCATAGATGTGCCTAGCACACTGTCTATGCTCTGCTGCTGAACTCTTTCTTTGACAGCCTCTACCGATCCCCGAAAGAAACAAGAAATGGATGACATAACAAAAAACATTGAACTCAAACAAAACATAAAAGAAAATATACCTTGTGTTGGTCTGATATGAGGGTCAATCCATGACCAATTCCCATTTCAATGTCATCCAGTAGGAGGTCAAGAAACCACTTCCATGTTTCCTTATTTTCTACTGCCACCACAACCCATGCAACAGGGAAGATGTGGTTGTTTCCATCCCTGCCCATAGCTGCTAACAGTTGGCCTCTACATATATCCTTTAAAAAATAACCATCTACCCCTATTACCCTCCTACATGCTGCAATCCAACCATCCTTCACACCCTTAAAACAAACATACATTTTAGAAAAGTAAGTGGTGGAATCAGGCATGACATTCACATCTATCTTTACCGTTGAACCAGGATTTTTCCTCATTATTTCTTCACCATAACTCCATACTTTACCATAATGTTCTATCAAACTACCCTCTATCTCATCCAAAGCATATCTCCTAGCATTTCTACATTGAGTCACACTAACAATCAAGTTAAACTTTGTACTCACTTTGGCTTTCATTTTCCTTATGCTCATTTTGGGGTTCTTCAAAAGTTGATTCTTAAAATGCTTTCCAATCAATTTATATGTTACAATGGAACCAAGTTTGAAGACTCTTGAACAGTTATGGTCATCAACTAAGGACTTAATCTGGAAAGACCTTTCACTACTCATCCAGGAAGCCCACAATCTAAATGGACAAGAGGGGTTCTTGCTATCTTTACATCATCTCACTAATAACCTCTGACTATCATTTTTCTCATAATAAAGATTGTACCCATTCTTCACTGCATAGTTAGTCAAACAAATTTTCAATTCCATAGGGTTAGAGAATCTCATACCTAGAATTGGCACCATTTTGTCCAATTTATGGTTCTCATTATGGACAGGGTACACTGGTTTGTCATCCCTATTGTTGGTATCAACCTCATCAGTTTCAAGCTCATCATTTTTATCCTTAGAAATATCTGACACCCGGTGTAAGAATTCATCACCAACAGTCTTGTCAAGAGAAGGAATGTAACCATCTGCTTCATGCTCATATGGAATATCATCAGAAAGTTGTAAATCTTTATCATCATCCACGTCTGGCTTAGAGTAATGCCCTTCATCATCTTCTAGTACTTCCATATCAGCCCAATCAAGTACAACTTCATTTTCGTGGTCTATATACACATTCATTCTTAGACCAGCTTCATCACTATAACCCGTTTCAATAAACTCATAGTAGTCAGCATCATTCCCAATTCTCCTAATACCCTCTGCCAATGATTCATTTCTAGTGCAGTAATATACGTTATCGCAACTGCCTTCAATCAACTTTGCAACGAACAACTTAAACTCTTTGAGATCCATTGCACCAAAATCGACATCAGAGATTGAAACAACAACATCGTTCAAGTACACTAATGGTTTTGGTGCGAATAAACCACTATAATGTACATAAACTGTCAAATACTTACGGAGTTTGGAATCGGAGGCCATCTTTTTCACTGTAACACTCGCATTCACCACTTCTCTTCAATTTCGTAACTGCATTCTTCGATTAAACCCTAACTGTAAGGAGAAAAGGGGGTGAAAGAGTAACGAGTTTGCAACGTGTTCTAGGTCCACGTAATACGACATGTCATCTCTAATTAAATGAGATAACCGGCAAAATAGGTGATAACCGATATCGAGGGTTTTGATGAGCAGAATTATTAAGTTCAATGGTATAATAAAGACAAAAAAAAAGATAAGAGACCAAATGAGTACTTATGGAACACTTTATTACCCTCAAAGGTCATTTTCCCTAATTAATATCATCCAACCTTTATACGTTACATTTTAGTTGACTGCATCTGACATTTTGGATCGGGCTTATTTATGGCGGGAAAGTTAACTCTCTCAACTCTTACCCCCAATTATTTTTGAGCCCTAATTTTCCTTTCTTCTCTCCCCACGCTTTCGTTTTCTTCAAATTCACGACATCTTCTTCCTTAGCAATGTACAAATTTTCGACTATCTTACGTGTTGGGTGATCTACAAGGCATCGCTGATTCCTTTATCCGATCAGGAGGTTTTCGCTGTATTCAGGTACCTAGGGTTTCGCTTTCTTCCATGTCTTCGGATACCGTAAACCACCAGTTTATGTGCTCAATTTTAAATTGGCCTGTAGGTTTCCAAGTAACTGTTTTGATCTTTGCGTTTGTAGAAAAAAGTTAAAAACCCTTTCGTTTCATTGGGCAAACATGGCTGACGCATTTGAAGATGAAACTGAGCAAACGGTTTCACTGAACGAGTACCTTGATGAAGTTGAAGATCAGGAACTTGTAAGTGTTTTCATTTCAGAGGATTTCAGTTATTTAGATATGCCGTCTTTGCTGAAGTGTTGATGTGTTATTGGCTCGCTGTGTTGTGTTTTTCTCTAGTAAAATGACTGTAACGAGACGAGATTTTAGGTTTTTCGGTGAAATTGTTCGCACTTTCTGCTTCTACATACGATCGAATCTGATAGAACTTTCTGCATAACTATTTGTTAGGGCTAAATGACGTTAGCAAATCTTCAGTCGCATATACTTTACAACATAGCTTAAAAGAGTCCCTAAGCATTTCCTTGCTAAAATTCTCGAAATTACATCTCAAGCAACACAGGCTCCGCTTCACATCATCATTTTAGTGGGTTTTGGATGTTCTGGTTTAAGTCAGTGCAGCTATCCATAGTGGTGTTTTTTTCTCATGTTTGAAATAATATAGTTTTGATAGCAAACATTAGAAAAGTAAAAGAATTGGATGAAACTTTTGAAGTCATATACTTGTTGCTTTTAGTAAGAAATGAACTGCTGTATCAGATAGGTTAGCATATGCCATTTGTATCTGTATCTGCTTCACTTGCAGCTTATGTCAATGAGTCAATCTTATAAAGCCAATCATTGTTGTTATGTTTCTGCTTTCTAATTTACAATAGTTGACATTCTTTTTGTACTTTTTTCTTATTAAAGGAAGCAGATTTAGTTCTGGGTGGTGATGAAGGAAAAGAGTGCACCTATGGCAAAGGCTATATGAAGAGGCAAGCAATTTTCTCATGCATAACATGCACCCCAGATGGAAATGCTGGTGTTTGCACAGCTTGTAGTTTGTCTTGCCATGATGGACATGAGGTATCCCTTTTAATTTCTCCAATTATTTGGTGTACAATGAACACACTATTTGGACTTAAACATGATTCTTTTGATATCTCTTTCTTGTTTTCTTTTATTTAGATTATCGAGCTTTGGACCAAGAGAAAGTTCAAGTGTGATTGTGGAAACTCAAAATTTGGAGAATTCTTTTGCAAACTTTTAGTAAGCAAAGATATTGAAAATGAGGAAAACTCCTACAACCATAACTTCAAGGGCAAATACTGTACATGTGGTCGACCTTATCCTGATCCAGATGCTGAAGAGCAAGTGGAAATGATCCAGTGTTGCATATGTGAAGATTGGTTTCATGAGGAACATCTTGGCCTTACCAATGAGGTTTGTACTTTGTAATAGACTAATAGTATAGTTTAATTATTATTTAAAGAATGTTATAAGTTCATGTTTTTTTTTTTTTTTTTTTTTTTCTTTTTCATTTCTTAGGTTAAAATCCCAAGAGACGAAGATGGTGAACCTCTATATGAAGATCTCATCTGCCACATCTGCTCACCAATTTGTTCCTTTTTACATCTTTACCCTCAAACCATATTTGCATCTGATAATCCACAAAACCCCACAACCCCATCTAAACAAAAATCCATAGAAACCACACCTTCATCTTCTGGACCTTCTACAAATCCAGAACTTACTAAAAACATGATTCTTGGTGAGAAATCCGGGACATGTGTTCTTGGTGTTGACCTTTTGTCCAATGAGTTGACCTCTGACAAAAGTCAAAGTCAAAGTCAAAGTCAGCCGATGTTTCTTACAAAGAACTGGAGGGAAGCACTGTGTGGATGTGAGAAATGTTTGGGGTTTTATGAAAAGAAAAAGATTAGTTATTTGGTTGATAAGGAGGATTCGATTGCTGAGTATGAGAGAATGGCAAAAGAAAAGAGGGATGAAAAGATGCAACAACAAGAAGGGGCTGAAATGAATTTTTTGAGTAATCTTGGACATGTGGAGAAGATGGAAATACTTTCGGGTATTGCTGATATGAAAGATGAGATCCGTTCGTTTCTGGTATGTTGTTACTTTTTCTGAAAAATTAAAGTTGTTTGTTACTTTGTTTGATCTCATTTTTTTAATGTTGTTGTAACAGCAATCATTTGATGCATCGAAGCCAATCACATCTGATGACATCCACAAAGTGTTTGATAACCTTAAGAAACGCCGAAGAATGGACTGAGTTCATTCAGTTAGGCTTTAAGTTAGCCTTCTTTGAAAGAATGGCTTCACTTTGAAACTAAAAACTTTTTAAGTTTTTTCCTTTGTTAAGAATCAAGAACTAGATCTTTGTTTAGACATGTTGTGGTTGTTGGTGTTTGTTCTTGACTTGAATATTTCTAATCATGTTAAAATTGCACTTTGGATGACTTTCAACCTGTTTGAGTTTACTGGGTTAAGGACTTAATATGGACAAAATTGTTGATTGAGTCAAAACCTGATTGAGCTAGACTCAACCTTTTATCTGATCATTAAGTAAGAAGCATATAAGAGGTTATAGGGCCGAATCAAAGACTTCTAATTGTTGTATCAAACAGTCATCTGACCCTAGCATTCTTACCAAACCCATGTATATCAAACAACTTTTAAATGTGGTTTTTTTAATGTATTCTTGACAGATTGACTTATTGAGATAAGGCAAAAAAAAACATAGCTTAATGGTTTAAGACACTACATTTTTTTTCCTCCCAACTCTTTTAATGTTAAAATTGATGAATAAAGTAGAATTTGTGAACATAGTCAATATATTTTTTTCTATTAAAACAATTAATTTGAAAATTTCTAAAGATGGAATCTTTACATTTTATTATTACAAAAGATATATTGTTCTTTTTTGCAATTTGGTAGAGATATATTTGATTTTGGTTTATTAGTTTTTATATGTTAATTTTATTAAAGATATTGTAAACATTCAAGTGATTGTCAAATATTTTTATTAAATTTTGTTAAATGTCAGTTTTATCATAAAATGAATGATAATCAGCTTTACTTATATGAGTTTAATTCTTGTAATAATAGTTAATATGTAGATATATATAGTTGGGTTCAAAATTTTTTCAGGATAAAAATTAGAAACATTGTTTTTTTTTTTTCCTATAACCTAATATAAACATTGTATTTTCAGGATGTAATTTTACATAATACTATAATAGTAATACCTTTGATTTGATATACAAAACTAGATTATAACCCGCGTTAAACGCGAGGAAACACATAAAAAAACATAAAAACATCTATAAATTTTGCATAATAGTTAAAAAAGAAAATTTATGTGAAACAAATGAAAACAAACATAAACTTCAAAATCAAAACAAATTACTTGTCAAACAAATCCATAAGCAAACAATAAAAACTAATAAAAAAAAGTCTTCAAACTAAAATATCAAATAATTATGAATGGTTTAAACTTATTCGAACTTTTCTATTTTTGGGATCTTCAAAGAAGGAGCAGCAACACCATTCAAAGAAGACCATTCAAATGATTCGGTGGTGGTAACAATATCAATAAGCTGCTTGACTGAAGTAGTTGTTGGCGGTAACAATCTCAAATGACTCGGTGGTGGTAAGATAGTACATTTGATTTTATCCTCGATAATCATCTCAGAGTCCAATGATGAGAACTGTAAAACAAAAAAACAATAAGCAAAAAGAGCATCATTAATGTAAAAATAAATTCATATGTTACCTGTTTGAGGTTAATTTTTTTTTCAATTGAGCAATGATTGTATTAACAGCAGTGAACTTTGAAATTTTATAACCATCAACTTTGTTCTTCAAAATTTGAATTTTAAACACCAACTTTTTATCCAAAAGTACATTCAAAACAGATGGATAAATCTCCATATTACCCTACTAAAAATGAACGGTTATAAAAAATAGATAGACAAAAAGTTAAAATTAGTTTTATGTAAATGAAGTTAATATCGATAACCTCATTAAAATTTTGAAACAACTCTTGCGCAGCTTTTTCAAGAAGTATCTTTGCGTCACTATCAAATAACGTAAGTGACACCAAACTGGTAAAGTCTTGTACCCTAATGGTGATTTCGAAACTAAAACCATTGATATAAACAAATTCAGTAATATAAAATTAGAAAGTTTAACCGAACATTATAATAATATATATAAAAGAACTATTGAAAACATTGGAACAACACATATCTCTTTGTTAATGCAAGTTGAAGTGTAACAATAAAAAACTTATTTATCTTGAAGTTGATTCTCATGCATTAAAACGACTTTTATAGCTTTCTGTTGACATTTAGTACAAGCCAAATAGTACCATTCCGCATCAGAACACACATGCTTAATTGTACCGACAACAATCAATGTTTTTTCCTGAAATATATTAATGTAACTTTAAATTATATGATAAAAAAGTAAAATGAAAGATTAAGATAAAAATAATCCAAAAAGTATTTCACATAATATATATTTTATAAATGAAAGTTACGTATATAAACCTCATGTCCTTGTTGGAGATTAGCAATATTCTAGAAATCAAACTTATGAAAGAAATTTAGATGATGGAGGACTAAAGGGTTGCTAGAATTAGCAATTATGCTTTGAGCCATGTATCTGCTTGTGAAAAAAATAATGATTGTTAAACACGTGTGACTCAACCAAATCCTCTTGACTTTTTTTTGTGTGCAAATACACATTTTCTTCGTATTTACTCTCGAACGCCTTAATGTAAAAATTGAATTAATATTATATTATTGAGTTCTATACAGAAAAGTCCCATTATTTTTGGAAATTTTTTAATAAAGTACTAAAAGTTTTTTTTTAATGATAAAGTCCTGATTTTTTAACGTTTTGCTCAAATTAACGAAAAAATCATTTTTTATATTTTAACAGAAAATTACAGATTATATGATTTTCCTAAAATAATGAGACTTTTCTATTAAAAAAAAACTTTTAAGACTTTATCAAAAAAAAATTCATAAAATAATTGGACTTTTCCAATATAACCATGTATTATTCTTATTATAATAAAACACTTTTTGGTCTACGACGTGTTACTCCTTTCCTTTTTAGATTTCGTCCAATCTAATTTTACCCTGCCCTTCCTCTAATATTTCCCCTTCTGTTTTAAAGCCCTTCGTCCCGTCATTCCCCTTTGTGTGTAAATCACATTTCTCTTCCACTGAGGCTTTGAGCCCTAAATCGCCAAATCGGTCTCCTGTTCCATCGAACGAAGAACACTCTGTTGCTTTGGCGTCGCCTACACTATTGCGGCAGTGTTCTTCTCGAATGATGAACAAACCCTGCCGTCTTCATTCCCCACCATTGCAGTGGTGTGCTTCTCCATCGCAACACTCTTGCGGCTAGCAGTAAATATATCATTGATTAAGGTTGTTTTTTTGGTCGATTTTGATACTTCTTTTGAATTACAAGTTCACTTAATTTGGGCAAGTTATGGTAATGATGTACAATTCATCATCAGTAGATGAAGTTGGATCAAGGAGGCAGGAGCATAACAAATGTAAGGGAATTCAATATCCAAACACATGGTATGTTATGATTTTATCATAATATTGATGATGTTAATACTTTGACTGTTCAGCGTGATCTTAATGACTTAGAACTAAACTTGGAGCCCTTTGTGGTGGATGATCCGCATAAAGACGAAAACTTTCAGCACATTGACGATCAACATCAATCATCGAGTTCTGCATATGCTCTATTGGACATGGATGCATCTCAGCCAGAACAGGTGGACGTTTCCTCATCAAATTCTAATGGAAGATCCCATGAAAACACTCAACAGGAAGAAGTTATATCTCAACCAGAAGAGGAGGATACTGAAGAACTGCAGGTAACAATATATAAGAATGTCCTTTTTGGTCCTTTTTTATCTATCCGTTTATTGAAATACATAAATTTTCAAAATTTACCAAACACTCAAACAACTGAGTATCTAATTATTATAATCTTGACCTTCCTCCTGGTAGAAGGTATGCCTTTGACCTTCCTACTATTATAATAATTCACATTCAAACTTTTAAGATTTTTTTTCTTTTTTTTGCAGCAAATTGGTTTTAGCAACGAATATTGTATCTTTATGTGAAGGCCAGTTTAACTTTGACCTTGTCCATTAGTTCATTCTCAACTTCTTTCTTAAAGTCATTGGTTTTATATTGGGTTGTGATTGACATATTGTTTTCAAGAACTCCAGGGTAATTTCGTTAACAGATGTTCCAATATTATTTCTTTTAGAAATTAATTTATTTCTGTTGAGTTTAATGAAATGCTTTTATTAGATATTTTTCCCATAAAAGAGCTTCAAGTCTAGAGAATTTAGAGTTGTGTCTTCAGGAACTTGATAACAAAAATGGTATGACATATATATATATATATATATATATATATATATATATATATATATATATATATATATATATATATTGAAAAATTAAAAACTCATTTTGTTTGAATGTATGATAGGCCAAGGGATTTGGGAAGGGAAAAGGTTGTGTGCTCAGGTACCATAGTAACTACTGCACATGCCCCTATTTGTTGTTGCGTTCTGTGACAGCAACACCAGTTTCTTGGAAGTATCAATTTTCTTCTTTCTTTTTTCGGATTATAATATTTAATATGCTGTTTTTATGATATTTTAGTGCTCATATTAAAATTTTAATACTATATTTCTTTATCATTATCAACAATTAAAAATTTAGACAAAAAACTTATATCTTATTAATCTAGTAAAATTTAATAAATCTTTTGATTTTTCATTATCATTCTTAATTATCACTATTATTTTTCTTTCTTACAAGTGGTTTCTAAAACTAATTGATAACATTTATGTGTGTTGGTGTGTTGCAGACTTATTAATTTAAAAAGTTATATTTTTTGTTTTTATACTCCTTTAACTTTAAGTTTTAACCAATAACAAAACAAAACTATTAAGTTATATCCCTGGTTTTGTTAGGCTTATATCATTATAGTGAGAAAAAGACAAAGAGAAAAGGAGATACGAAAAGGAAAGAGCAGCACCTGTGATGTTTTTGGTCGGATTATTGTTCTGATAACGACGGAATCAGACACAGAATTGAGCAGCTCCGACGGCGTACGATAGACTGAGACACGAACTGTAGTTCGACGAACGGATAGTCGCTTTCAACTCTGGGGGCGGCGGCTGCAATCTCTGGTCGTGACACAACAATCAGCAAAGCAGATTGCTATTTGGAGACACAAAGGGTATTCGTTTTTAAAAGACACAAAAGTCAGCTAGGGTTTTCTGGTTTGAAGTTTGGCGGTGGTTTATGTTTTCCGGTTAGCTGTTTTTCCAGCAAAGCATCATATTGGTGATATTTAATCTAAGTTTCGTATTTTCTGGAAGATTGAGATAGTAAATTAAATATTAGATTAGGGTTTTGGTTTTCTATAGAGTTTTTAGTTTCCTAAAATTATGTATCCTAATCGTATTTGAATTGTAATTGATTTTTTTCAGCAATTTTATGGTTTTTATATCTATACATAAAATGGTTATGATTCTTTCTTTATATCAATACAAAGTCTTAAAAATAATCTTATTAATAATTTAATTTTTTTATATATATTTTTCTCGTGGTTGCCATAGGTTGTAAAAAATAAACATAACCAGTTTGGAACCAGAACCGGGAATCGGACCGCCGATGTCGGTGCTGGTTCCGTTCCCGGTACCAGTTTTTGGTTATTTTTTCAAATAATCTTTTTGTCAAAATAACATTTTTTTATATATATGAGTTTATTTGATAATTTTGTGGCTTATCATGGATAAATCAAATGAGAATATTTTGATAAATAAGTTAATTTGAATTACAAAACATGATGCAAGTTTAATAAATATACATATTGTTTTCATGGCATATGCTTCTGTGATTGCGAATTTGCTATATGTATATTTTACTTTACAAAAACAAAAAGTGACGATCGGATAAGAAAAAAAATATAATAAACATATAAGATTTCAATAAATATGAAAATATAATACAAATTAATAAAAAGTTAATAAACTTTTATTGTCGTTGTCATCATCTAAAAAAGGTAGAATGATAGGTAAGAATAAGAAGTACGAGGGATTTTAAATTCTCTAATTTTTATTGATAAACTATTATGTAGGATTTGGTTTGTAGAATGTTTTAAGGAATTTGATTTGTCAAAAGAATTGAAATTTGAACCAAGCAAAATCTGTCAAAAAAAAAAATAATGTTTGAATTTTTTTATTTAAAAAGAGATGATAAGGGTATTTTGGCATTTTTGCAAAAACAGAAGAGTTAATTGAATTTTAAAACCAATGTCAACATTTTCATTGAATTTTAAATTAATTATAAAACACCACAAGAATAAAAAAAAATAATAAAAAAAATACCACTTTCTTTGAATTTGACATAACCATTGAAATAATAATCGCTTATTTTTCCCTCCCTTAGCCCATCCACAGTTGAGATTTCCAATTCTTTTAACTTGTCATCCTTTGTTCTCAACACTCTTAGCAACACAACCTAAGAAGTTATTTCCATTCCAATGGAATCAACGATTACAGTCCGTTCCTTAATTCCATTAAACCAGAACGTAATTCTACTTTACCTGTGCTCAGTAAGGGGTAATGACTCCAATATCAGAAGCATGTACACCACTTTGAATCAACCTTCTTGCATGTGCTATAACAATCTCAGATTCACCTTCATTCAATGTGCTTTCTTCTTCATCCTTCTTTTCTTCCATATCACACCTAAAACTATAATTTTTTTTTAGAATTCATAAAATTTATAAGGTTAGATCAAATATCAAATATGCATACCCTGCAATGTCTATGAGAAGAAGAGTAGGTTTAGTGGAAGAAGAAGACTTCTCAACACCTTCAAGCTCATATAGGGTATGTCCAGCAGCACTTGCATGAGCTTTAATCTATCATTATTAATTAATTCATTACTCACTATTATTATAACAAATATAATTAATAGATAAATAAGGTTAATAAAAAAAAGGTCAGAATTAAATTACCTTATTGTTGTAAGGCTCTTTAGAAGACCAAGTCATTATAAGTCCATGCATGCTATATTGCACAGTCAGCATAGACATGACATCATCTCCATATAAATCTGCAAGGCGTTCAAAAAGAGTGTTTCCTAATCCCTTTTTTCAGCTTCAACACTTCGAATTGTTGGAGGAAGTTGTAAATGATCCCCTGAAAGTAAGCACCTTGAACCCTAAAAAAAAAAATCCCTTTTACTTCAATCATCCAATATATTGCCAATTTAAAAAAAAGGTTTTGTTTTGTTACCTTGAAAAGAGCAATCCAACAAGCAATCTCTAGGCCTGAGCAGCTTCATCAATAATGACTAAATAAAATGAAATTCCATCTAATTTTCTTGATGATGAACCTGTGAGAGTTGCTAGAACGACAAATGAATTTTTAATTACATTTGTCACAACAAGTTGTTGCCTTTTGCCTTCTTCTTTTGAAAGAATCCTAAGTTTTTATGGATTTCCCTCTTTGTGTTTTTATCTTTAGCATTCAACAATTTACTATTTAATACCTTCATTTCTTTTCGGATGTCATTGGCAAGAGAACTGTTATCCCCAAAGTAACACCTACAATAATTAAAATCATTTAAAATACATTTTTTTTGTTAAATTAGTGGTGATACTTATAATTTATATTCCATACCTGTGCATCAAGAGCACTATCTAATACTTGAGGCAGTGACCTTGCAAGATGACCCACTCTCACTAACTTTAATCTAATCATGAAATTAAAAATTAGGACAAAATTCAATTAGAAATTTTTTTAAAAACAAATAAATTACAATTAGCTAGTGATAAAACAAATCGATCGTGGTTGATGAATGATGACATAGAGTAGCAATCAGATTTCCTTTTTTAAAAATAATCCATTGTTCTATTGAGAAAATATTATAAAAAAATAATAAAAATACATACAAATTAGACTTACAAAGAGTATAGACAGGCGTAGAGTATATCACCAGTAAAACAATTATTAACAAATTCGACAATTACAGTGTGAGAGGCATGGTGACACAGTAACAAAGGCAAATGATTTAATACCTTCGTTTCCTGTATAACAAATAATGACAACACATAAGTTTATATATATATATATATATATATATATATATATATATATATAAATATAATTATTAGAGTAAAATTGCTGACCTGGATGTTGGGAGCAAAGCCACCTTCATCACCAACGTTTGTGGCATCCTGACCATATCTCTTTTTGATGACAGACTTTAAGTTATGTTATACTTCCACACCCATTTTAATGGCTTCCTTGAAAGAAGAAGCTCCAATAGGGAGAATCATGAACTCCTGCATTGCAAGCTTGTTGTCAGGTGTGAACCTCCATTTATCACATTGAATGCTGGTACAGGCAGCACCATGGTCTTGTTTACAGCAAGGTTTGCAATGTGTTGTGTGTGTGTTATTTATTAAGACCAAAAATAAGTCAAAAAACTTGTACAACTTCATATTAAAGAGACAGAGAGATCAGGTGTGTAGTACCTTATAGAGAGGGATTTTTTTGACTGAAGGTCCTGCTTTACACACAACAAGTGAGACTGCTAGTATAGCATTTGATCCAAGCTGGAAGACAGGGATTAAAATGTTAAGAGTTTGAAACTTTTTTTTTGGTTAACACCTGAACTGGATAATGAATTGTGATACCTTCTGTTTGCACCAACCCCATTCATTTACAGTTCCATCAAGTTCTTGAACCATCAAGTTGTCAATTTTTGTTTGCTCTGAAGGGTCATGTGGTGCATTTTGATTTTTGACATAGAATCACATACTAAATGACTGTAGAGGCAAATACAAAATGATGAAGAGAACATACCTTTCCAATTAAGGAAGGTCCGATTATTGAGTTGACATTCTCAACAGCCTGACCAATCAATAATGACATGTAAAGTTTAGTTTAGTGGGGATTATTACTTATTAGGGAATAAAATCATATGAAGAACACAGGCGTTTAGGAACAAGAGTTTTACCAACCTTCAAGACACCTTTCCTAGCTAGTCAGAACCTCCATCTCTTAATTCTAGGGCTTCATATATAGCTGTGAATACAAAATAGAAAAAGATAAAACAGTTATAAGCTATAAGTCAAAACATCCATGATTGTAATAAAATAATTTGTAGGAAAGTATGTTTGTGTATACTACCTGTTGAAGCACCACTGGTACTGCAGATCTGGCCAATGTTCCATCAGAGAGCGTAACATCAATCTGAAATTATTAATTTCAGTTCCCAATCGGAAAGGAATCCATCCTTAATATGCATAATCGAAAGAAGCACGTTGTGAATTACAAAGAAATTAAACCTCCGAAATCTCGTGACCAACATTCCGAACGTGAATGACTTTAGAAGGCTCTGTCATTTTAAATTATCCTGAAAAAAGAAATTGAAGTGATTCATGAAAAAGGTTCCACATACAATATATGAAGCAATCAATTCTAAAATCCAAAAGAAAAAACGGTTGATGATTGCTAATCAAACAAAGCAAAAGAATTTGGAAGTAAAACTCTAAATTTCCATCGGGAATTGTAATAAGATAACGTGAAAAAATCAAACTGAATCTTCTTGGAAGGGGAAAACCAGAGATGTAAAGGAGTGAGAATCGTAAATCTGAATAAAGGGGAATCGCACCTGGAGATGATGAATCTGAAAAACAAAATGACGATGTGTATCTATGATCGAAAACCAAAAACAAAGATCAGAAAGGATGATCACTTACCTTCTTGTAGGTCGTATTGACAGCATACTGACGATGATGGTAACAAACGGCTGTCAGAGAATCAAGAGATGAAGGAAAGACTGAGGAGATATGCTTGGCTGATTGTGTGCAGAGAAAATTGAGGAATGAAATTGGGTATGAAACGTAAGAGGTAAGTTGCAATTTGAGGCGCTTGTATATTCGACAATGATGTCATAAAAAATATCCAATGGTGGAGAAATAGGAGTGAATTAAAATCAAGGGTCTTTATTTCTTCAATTTAGATTTTAAGATTCTCTTTTAATAATATTTAGAGATATGTCCGTTTCTATAAAAAAAAATTTTCTTCGAAATTTCATTATTACTAACAAATACTTTATTTAAATTATATTTTTAATTATAAATGTTTGAATATTAAAAAAAAATCTTAAAGTCAAGTGATTCAATTATTTGCGATTGATCATGAGTAGGATAGATTTTAGTTATAGTTAAGTGTAGACATCAGCTTATCTGTCATGGTGATGTCACCTTTCTTGCTACTTCAAAACCTGATCCTAGAGCATGACCAAATTAATTCTGTGTTTTTAGTTTTTACATTCATTGAATAATGAATACCAATGGTTTTTATTAATTAATAGCTTCTTAATGATCCAATATGATATTATACATTAATCATTTACATTTACATGTAAATAACCAAATAACTGATCTGAAAATAAGATATTTTGATCATTAAGACATTAACATGTAAATAACCAAATAACGGGCCTCCAACATGTTTACACCAATTATGCATTTTATAGTTTTTATAAATATCATATTTCTTAAATTAATCAAAAATAGATTACACTAATATCTAGAACTAACAATAAATATTAGACTTAATTCGCCGACAAGATTTTCAGCTATTTTAAAAGAACTAGAATATCTAATGCACACTTTTTTAGTAAAAACAGTAAAATGCCTTTTACTTGGTCAAATATTTATTTTAAATGATGGTTTATTTGCAATGAAAACCCAAATATCACGTTGAAACTTATTTCAAAGGAAAGAATGGTTTCCAAGTTGTAAACTTAGTATTAAATAAACCAATTAACACAATCTTTGCAAGTCAATAAACCAACATGTATTCACATGATACAAAGTGAACGGTGTCGATTAAATAAGCTGAAAATCCATCATTGTCAAAATCACATAAGTCATTAATATTATAGTTATAGAGGTGATAAACATAAATAATCAACAGACTTCGGTGTACAGTTAACCAAAGAAACTAACCACACATAAATAGGGAATATATCGTGGTTCCACTGTCAAGGTGACAATATACGTCCACATGAGAAGATAAGATATTTTATTCCAATAGAGAATCAAAACCCGAACGATTACAAATAAAAGAGATTGCAAGTGTTTCCTAAAACCCAAAATTAAAGCAAGATGTTTGATAAAACATTCAACAATCTAAACTCAGAAATATCAAATGATCACAATGATCTCTCTAATAACTCTAAACGTAATCTCCACCCTAAAAAACAATAGCACGACAATCGTATTTATAGACAAAAGAGAGTTAATCTTAAAAAAACTTTGCCAAAAATAGAGGGGTTGGATTCAGTCTAATTGTGTTTAAAGTTGATTTGAAATATACTTAGATGAGGTGCTCCACCAAAGGGCTTCAAGTCCATAGCTATGTAGGGAAAATTAGGGTTTGTAGTGGAGATCTGGATACCGACTTGGATCGTGATATCACTTTCCGAACTGATATTTCTACCCTATGTCTGGGTTACAAGAAATTCAGCCTAGGATAATCCAAGTGGACACTTACGATTCTAGGCACAGAAATCGTAAGCCAATATGCTAGAGGATTCTGTGAAAGTGTGATGAAATACGAGAGCTTAAGATCGTCACCCTCTTTTGAAAAGAAGAGCCATTTATATAATAAACGATATTAGGGTTTCATTAGGTTGGGCCGTAATTAGTTGCTTTGGAAGCAAGTAATATTAATCCGGATTTAATGAGGATTTAGGGTTACCAAAACTAACGAGTTTTGTTAGTTTTACCATAAACACCCTCAAGAAATTGAATTTTCCACTACGGTCCTATAAGTAAAATTCTGTGAGGTTTGACCCCAGCCAGGGGCTCTGCCCCCTTGGACCCCGCTAGGGGCGCTGCCCCTAGACCCCGCCAAAGGGGCGCTGCCCCTTTTGAAACCTCGGACCCCGGGGCGCTGCCCCCGGACCCCCGACTAGTCGTCGAACCGGCTTCTAATTCGATCTTATACATGCGTGCACTCCACACAACCCCGTACATATAATAGAGTACAAATTATGAAGCCCCTTAACTCACATGTTAGTCCAGTTACTTAAAATGACATGGTGACACTAAAATCACCAACAAGCTAGGTATCAAGTGCCTTCACTCCTTGAGGTCAAGGGTTCAAGTCTCATCTGGGACATAAGTGAGAATATGAGTAGTTTAGGAGTATATTAGATTTGTCGTTCCAAAAAAAAATAAGGTGCTCCAGAAGATGGGTTAAATGGAGAAGTGAGATCTCGGCTTACCTGAACTCATCTATGACTTCTATCCTAGTTAATAGATCTCATACGCCTGAGTTTTCAATCAAAATAGGGTGACCATTTTCTTTTTATTCTTGTTCATCATGGATGCCAAAGGCCTTCATGCTGCTTTGCATGAAGAAATTAATCACAATATGTCTTGTGTAACTTTGCAACAATAGGTTGATGATTTTCCCCTTCCATGAAGTGATGCAACAATCCTTGGGAGTGGTAACAAGAAAATGTGAGAAGTATCATCAAGATTTTAGATTTATTTGACCTAACTTTTTGTTTTAAAATTAACTTGTAAATAGCAAATTATTAGGTGTTGGGGTTAATTTGCTTGAGGTTCAACATATGTAGGGGTGGTTGGTTGTTTTCATACTCAACTCTTTTTTAATTTTTGTTTTTGAGCCTTCCCGTTGGCTATAATATGTCGGAGGTGGAAGTATTGACAGAGATCATTGATAAATTTAAAGCTAGACTTTCTAAATGAAAAGTTAAAATTTTATCACTCGTAGGAAAAACAATTTTTTTCAAATTGGTGTTGGGGACTCTTGATATTTACTATATGTTGTTTCGAGCCTCAAATACATTTATAAGAGCATTTTTGATGAGAGTTTTTTAGAGATGTCAAATATAAATACTCAACCCAAATAATGTATTTTGCTACCCGAGAGAATTGATTTTGGGGACAATAATAAAAGCTACATATATTCTAGCAAATGATTTTTTGAGTTTTATGTTTTACACAATTAACCCTTTTATTTTTTAATGTTACATTTTACTATTTTATTTTCATTAATCTTAAAAGATTTATTATTTTTTAACTATTTTTTGTATCATTTTAACCTCCAATATTTAATCTAATATTAAATTATATGATACTTTTATCAATTTTAATTTTTAAGTAATTTACACGAATCATCGTATATGTACCAAAAGGCACGGCCAGTCTCTGTTTTAAAAATTAAATCGAACCGTCTATTGTTTGGTTAAATGTTGTATATGTCATCACTCGTTAATTTAAACTTGCACATGTCATCCCTTGCAATACATGAAATGACTATTCTGCCATTTTATTCTTTTTTTGATTTATTTAATTTTCTTTCAATTATTTATAATATACAAAAGATTAAAAAAACTCACCTAACACCTTCTCTTCTAAACCATCTTTCCCCCTAAATTCTTTGACTCATCACTACCATTGGACCACCGCCCACAACCGTCGACCACTCACCGGTTAACCGTGATCCACCAATCACCATCATCACCACCTTCCATCTTCACCATCTAATACACTATCTTTGAATCTCCTCGACCTTGCCGGGAATAGTCTCCACACCCACATGTACATCATTTTCCTTAGTCATACACAACTCCTGCCCCGTCGACCTTTGACCACCATCAACTGACTAGAACACCGAGAGCACCGACCATCACTAGCTTTGTCGAACACCATCACCGCCGCCACCTAGGGTCTCAAATCTTCGTCTTCACTTGTACGCCACCATCGATCTCCGTCGCCGCTACCATTTACATTAAACCCTAGAGCCACTACTGCCGCTAACATGTTTATTTTCGGCGAACAAAACCCATAAATGTGTAACACCCGGAATCTGGAGTACTAATGGAGGAAAATATAATTTGCATTTTGAAGGTCTACTCGTAGAGTCCAGGGAAGAAAACTCGACGAGTAGGAACTGTTTGACACGCGGGTTTTTAGACACCAACTCGACGAGTTGGACTGGGTTTGGGAAACCCTAAATCCGGGTCTTGCACCCTATTTAAGCATCCTATTCCCCACCTTTCAGCCTCATTTCCAGCCTCCATTGTCCAAACCCTAGATCTCAAAACCCAAATCCATTTTGAGAGCTTGTGAGCCATTTTTGAGTGAATCTTGGGTGCTTTGGAGCTTGAGGGAGAAGAAGAAGCTTGGGGATCAAAGAAGAAGCTAGTAGATCCAGAAACATCTTGCCTTTCTCATCATTTCTGGGTAAGAAAGTCTTCACCTTGCTCATTGAGTACTTAGATCTTCTTATCACCTTTTCTAGTGGGTTTTGGTCCAAGAAGCTTGACTCTTGGGATTTGGACGTCCCAAGTGAGGAACACTTCAGATCTAGTGTCTAGAGGGACTCTCATGGCACAAAGGTGTCAACTTTATGGCCATGGAAGTCCCATGCAACCTCTAAGCCTCTTTTTTGGCCTTTTTAGCTCCAAAAGGCCATGCATGTACATAAAGCTTGAAGCTTTACGTGTTTCGTAGTATCTAGAGTCCAAATCTTAGTTTATATGCCTTGGTTTAGAGTGTTGATGATGTTTGGATCAAGATCTAAGTCTTAAAAGTCTAGGGTTTGAGCTATAGCCATTAAGTGAGAGTATTAACGGGTAAAGCTGGAAGCTTTAACCTTAAAAGGACATTTTCAGTGTATATGAGAAGTATGGAGCTTAGATCCGAAGAGTAGGGGCTTAATCCATTAAGAAGGCCCAAACAGACTAAAGAACTCGACGAGTACAGAGAGGGACTCGACGAGTTGAAGCGATTTGTCCCGATTCTGTACAAGGTAGAACTCGACGAGTCTGCGTAGGGACTCGAATAGTTGACACGTTCTGTCA